AGGCATCATCTCTAGTTACGAGAGAACCCAAAGGAGTTTGAACCATTTGTTAGTACAGATTGGAAGCTAATGCTAACTAGTAGTTGTCTTATAATGACAGAAACACAAAGCACAAAGAAACGCAAACAGGAAAGGCAGATAAATTAGTGTGTATACTTTTTTTTACCCATTAAAGTTTGACAGTATACTATACTGACAGTCCAAGACATTATAGGATAACCTCTATATCCAGTCATGCTAACAGTGTAGCTTTGTGTTTGTCGTCATCGTTCAGACTAAAATATCTCAAAAACTATTGCGTGGATGATTTCTCTGAAATTTTGTAGCAACACTGCTCTCCCCCTGATAATGAATTGTTAAAACGTTGGTAAATCTTTAACTTTAGCTTTAGCATAATCATCAAGTTTAAATTTCTCACAATATATCTGAAGTGGATGTTATGACTTGGTTGCAAAACTAAAGCTACTGAAAAAGCATTTTCTTAATGTACTGTACTAATTCTAAAAGAAGGTAGATTATGTGCAAGTCTACCAACTAACTTCTGAAATGATAATACCTCAGTAAACACTTTCCTATAATGCCTAATATTCAGGGGTCTTGCTTTGAAATTGGATGCCCTTCTGAGTCAAGTTGTTTTCCATTCAAAAGAGCAAATAAGGTCACTTCAGAAAACAATTACGGAGATGGCAAAAATGCCAAACTCAAGGCTCCAAACAGAAGTGCACGAACAGAGTGGTGGCTGAATCCACTTCTGTTTTAAAGTCTACATTTCAGACTTAATACCTGCAACCTTATGTCATTCCCATCAGCCTCAGGTGTACTTTCTCCATATTGCTAATTAGCAAATGTTAGCCTGCAAGCACACAAACTGAACCCCTGGTCTTGTCTCAATATGAATGACAATGACAGGCTTGGAATTGGTATGGATCCTTTAGCATTCTTCCTCCTCACACACAGCGGAACATTTATGTTTTAATCAGGTTCAGTTTTGCAAAGGAAGAAAAATGCCATCCCAAAGTTTAAAAAAAAAAGTCAGATATTTATTTTTGGCCATTTTTTCCCTCCCTAATAGGAAGGTAGACTGATAGAGAGATTAAGGGATAAACAGAAGGTTGGATGTATTTCGATTGGGTCTCAGCTCAGTGTTTGCTGCGGCTCAATGTAGAAAGAAGCCTGACCATTAGGCTCTCTGCATTGCAGTTAATTAAGGCATTGTGTACAGCAGTGAATGCCTGCTATAATGAGCGGCTGGCTGCCTGCCACCACCAACCCGGCCCCTCCCATCCCATCCCATTCCATCCCAAGCCTCTGACCATTAAATGCCTATCACCTTAACAACCCTGGGGAGAGAGGCAAAGGCAGCCGCCACCCAATCCCCACCAAACTGGTCCAATTGATCCTCATCAATGTGCAAACACTGTCTGCCATGCTGTCTCCTCCAAACAGCAAACTGTGGAAACTCGCACAAAGGGAAAGGCGTATGTAAATAACGTTGGCCGAATACACCACTTGAAAAGGCCAACTATCACACACAAAAAGGTCATTTCACTGACGTGTTTCATAAGTTATTATATACGTGCGCACACACCCTTTCTTCCACATCCAGCTCCGTCATATTAAGCGTTGTGATTGCTTGTCATGTGGAGGCTTCTTTTTCTCCCTCAATCCTTCCACCCAACCCTCACTCGTGCCCGCCGACCAAATTGGCTCTAAAACCGCATGTCACTTTTGATTTGACCCGGCAGACCCTGAAACAATAACTTCATCAGGCCCTGTTAGAGTCTCATCCCTAGTAGACAGCTCCAAAAACAAACACTGATTTCCCTTCATCTAGTCTGGAGGGCACCTTTCTGCCTTTCCTTTTTTTTGCTCTGTCTCTCTCTCAGACAGGATGAACGCATAAATGATTCTCTGCAGCACACAAGACTTGTCTTTTGGCACTTTTTAAAAAAAAGATGGACTCTGTCACATGCTGTAGTAGCAGCACAGGATTAAATAGGTCAACCCACGGATCCTTGGACAGAAAAATGTCACTTTCTACCCAAACATGTGCACACAGTTTCAGAGGTATAAGTAATCCCCCCTACTCTGCATCGTAATCATAAGCCTCTTGTCAATATGGCTTACTTATGACTGTGTCAATGTGACACCAATACCCCTAAACTCCTGAGGAGGAAACTGTCCTGTCTGAACAGATCATCTTCTGACTTTGGGAGTTGTTGCTCACATCCAGTGAGGAAAGTCAGGTTGTTTTTTTTAAAAGGAACTTGATCTGTTTGGTAAACCAAGAAGAGGGATTGCATTCAGGAAAATAGATGATGGAGTGGGACATCAACTTCTCTGCACTCTGTCACCTTTTACTGGAGAGCGGGGGCCGACTGGGGCTGCTTGAAATGGGAGACCCTCAGGGCTGATGTGTGGGTGTGTATATGTGCATGTGTCCTCTTGTCAAGGACACTGAAAGAGTGGTATGGGGGGGGGGGACTGTTAATGTATATTTCTAAATGTGATGCTTTCTGTATAGGAACACATGCAAGGTTATTCTCCTGTATTTTTCTTTTGCTGATGTCCACAGTTTGACAATCTGTCCATTTCCATTCCCTCACACATCAAACATGCCTAGCGATGAGATAATAGAGTGAGACTTAGCTATTATGTCAACAGTGCATATGCCAGACATTAAGTCTCATTATTATGAAGCGAAGGGACAAGAGCTGGCTCCCTTGTGGGCCCTTGACGGGCCTAATGATCTGATAATGGGATGACGCATGTAATGGGATGTCTCAGTGGAATGGATTTATCTCGCCAGCATTTCTGTAGAAAACTTACAGATGGGGTGCCGGTTTAGCTCAGTTGGTAGCAGGCGCCCCATGTACAGGGGCTACAGTCCTTGTCGCATTGGACTCAGGACCAAATCTTGGTTTTCCTGCTTCCGCCTAAGTGTTTTATTTTTTCAATTAAAGACAGTTGTTCAAATGTATGAACTAGCCGACAACGAGCCAAGCCTTGGTTGTACATCCACAGAAGTTAATCTCCACAATACATAAATGCCTGTAATCTGCATTCTCTGTTTTGGCCAGTAGAGGGAAACTTCACTTGCTACATATGGAAATCAGATTGCGTGCAGATGATTTCTCATCTCAGATTAGCCTACATCTCACTTGATTTCAACTCAATACATTTTACAAGTCAGTCACTAGTTTTCAAAGATTAAGTTCCTTTTTAGAGTAAACTAGATGATAAAACAGGATTGTTTGCTTTCTCTGATTGCCAAGTCACTGTCACATCGACCTGTCAGCTAGGATTGAGAAGGAACAATTTTTAGGCACTCTCAGCTTTTGGTAACTTCATAAAAGAAAAGATTGCGATGGAAAAACTTTGGTTTGAAAATGGTAGTCCACAAACCATTTTGTAAAGGTACAGTGTCTTTATCAACCTCTTATGTTCAGTTTATGGGTTTAATGCAAACACAAACATGCATGTGCAGTTATTGGGGTTCATTTGCTGATAGCTCCACCCACTTGGGTGTTACACATGTCAGAATGAGTGCACCCTGTAGGCCAAAAGTAAATCATAATTATAGTAATGAAGAACCCTTTCATCTCTTAATTGGAAACAAATGGGACACTGGCCTGTCCCTCTCGTCTATTTGCTGATGAGTGGAAGTCTGGTCTTTGCTTGTGCGCAATCGAATAGGGGAAACAAAAGCAAGATTCAGAGGCTTCATTTGTCATCATTACACAAAATTGCACCCATAGAAGCTATTGTCAGCATATGACATGAAGTGCAGATGGGGGAACATATGTATTGGGAAGCTACTGTAAAAAGTCAGCAACAAATCTGCATTAATGCACCCACACGTACACTCACACTATCATCAGGCCGGAGGGGTTTTTCATTTCATAGGTCCGTAACAGAACATCTCGAGAGAGTCTATATTTTGCTCTCGCACGCACACTTTAGTGTAGTATCCATTTCACAAACAAACACACTCCCTCTTTCCTTTCAGGGATTGATTTATCCATAAAAAAATCTCTTTGGCTTCCTCCTCCACTTTTAAGTAATTACCTCATCAGGTCTGTTTTTAACCCACGTCTTTACAATAATAGCTTGCAGTATACCTCCCTCCCTCCACTCTCCATTTCCCTCATATCCAATCATAATAGGAGGTCAAAGTTGAATCAGACTGAGCATTATGGTGGGTTGTCCCCATAGAGAAACAGAATGTAAATATGTGGTGGAAAAAGTATAAACTGACATCAGCTGAAGGAAATACAGGGAGAAAAACTACACCTGTCAGCACTCCACCCGTTCACCATAAGTCCCGGTAACACATTAGTATTGGACCCTGGTTAAATGGTTGACCCTATCCTCCCGTCATCCATCTTTCCATCCAGATGAATGGTAATGACCACAGAGAGGGATGGCCTCTGCTGAATTAAACATTTCCTTCCAATGAGGATCTTATTTTCCACCTTTGGATGGCAGATCAGGGCGAGATTTTTTTTCTGCTGGCAGAGTTACTTTATCATTGTGCAGCTCAGGTGCATTGGAGGTCAATGACACAGAGCCAGCATTGTTCTAATATATTCCATCTTGGGGCAAATGAGATGCATTCTGCTGGGAACCTTCAGTCTCGGGGTCAAGACGCAACTGCCCCTGCAATTTATTTGACTGCCACATTCGTGCTGCCTTTCCAAGGAAGTGGCACGTGCCCAGCCCTATAATGGTTCCACTTGTGCAAACCAGGGTCCAATCTTTCTAAAGTGTTGCCCAGGAAATCCCATGTGATTGAAATAGTCCCTGTCTTCTTTGTTTCACACCATGACTGCGTATTACTTTGGGTTTCATGTGCAAGCTCACCTAAGGACCATGACTGATTTGTATTCTGTATTTCTCCCTTTTTTCTTCCTCTCTTTCCATTGGTTCTCATCTTCTCTTACCTCCTCTTCCTTTCCCTCTTCTTGGATATTTCTTCATCATTTTCTCTCACGTAACAGGTCGTCAACTGACTATCTTCAACAGCCAGGCGTTCATCAAAATTGGTGGTGGAGAGAAGGGGCGCCACTTCCAGGGCCAGATCTCAGGCCTGTACTATAATGGCCTGCAGGTACTGAAACTGGCAGCCGAAGGCGACCCCAATGTCCAGACCCAGGGTAACCTGCGGCTGGTTGGTGATGTACCCTCGGTGCTCACTACTGACACCACATCCACCACACCACTGGCTGATATGTCCACCACAATCATGGAGACAACTACAACTATGGCTACAACCACCACCCGCAAACAGCGCTCACCAACTATGAGAGACAGTGTCACACAGGTAAGCGCCAAATTAGTTGTAAAAGACAACTACTTGCAGTGTTTTAAAATGTTCAGAAAAATTGCTCGCACAAACAGCAATGGTCAAACTTTACCTTAAGGTCTGTGTCTAACAGACAAGGCCAGGTTCCCCAACAGATTTTAAGGTGATCTTCTCTGTACCTTGCACAAACCTGGGTCATTTCAACCATCTTACAGAATACATCGGACTTAACCAAGACTTTTGCTATGAGCTGATTTTGCACTGGCCTACCTTGTGTTATGAAACCAGCCACTTACATCCCAGTTGGTTTCTTCAATAGGTTTTAGTCAATCTGAGATTTTTGTTCTAAACTGGCCAACAGAGAGCAGCTTAAGTAACACTTTGTGGCTAAAAGAAGGCAGGTGTTTGAGTCATGGAGCCAGGGAGATAAACAAGTTCTGTGCCTCATGATGAAGCGTTGACACTTACATTTGATTGGCATTCTACATTTCCTCCAAGACCTTAAAGTGTAGAAAACAATTTGACAGATTAAACTGCATGTCCAGTTAACCAAATCTTTGGATGAGTTTATTTCAAAAGAAATCACAGCTTTAGGGTCAAACAGTGAAAATCTGTAGCGGAGCATTTGAGTTGCAGCCCATATTCAGACGTTTAATCAGCGTACAAAGAGGGAGTCATGTAACATTTTCTTGTTGCTATACTCTTATATGACAAATCAGCACTTCAAATTTTGATTTGCTCTGAGAAGATATGGCTCACTAAACCCCAGACGTGGTGGGATGCTGGAAAGTACAGCACACCCAAACATATCAACAAAAGGCTGGAGGTGGAATGAAAAACAGAACAAACATATATTTATGACTTTTTCTATACACATACGTGAAAGGCATACGTGAAAGGCAATGATTTATGGCCTCGTGTGCTAAGTGTAGTCATCACCAAAATGGTAAACAACAATTAGCAAACAGTAGGGAAGAACTGTTACCTACGTACTGGAAAATGGAAGAGGCGGGTCATCCAGACCCTCATACAAAGACCTAATAACAGACTCCATGTGTTCCTGGGCTGATATGCTGTAGCTCATGTCTCATATCATTTACTACAAGCTGTGTGTTGAACAGAAAGGCCTTCCTGTATTTCATTTTAAAGTATCTTTTTTTAAAGTCGGCACTGGAGGAAATTAAAACGTCTTGCATGTCAATGCTGAATGCAATTTTTCCAATAGAATTTGCATTCCACTCTTTTTTGTCCCTGACATGCGTGATCATGACATTCAGAATATATATTTAGAACGGCTTTCTCCCTTTATATTCATCTCAAACCTTAGCTGATTCTGTCCTTTGGAAGTCCTCTCTCTTTTTTTTAAAGAAGCAAAGCAAATGAGAGTGAAGTCAAGGTGAAACTGTTAAAAGCAGTAGTGTGCAAATCACAACACTTTGTATTGCAAACACTGGGTTCAAAGAAAATTGCTTTTGCCTCCTGTTAATTTGTTGTTTCTTTCTTCCTTTTTGTACATTTAGCAAAGAGAGTGACTTGATTAGTCCTACGTAGCCTCATTGGGTTAGTTGTTCTGATGCCAGCTGAAAAAAGATAGAAAGGTGGTCGTGTTAGCAAATGTTCTCCATGCCACTTTTCCTTAAAGGCAGGGTTGGTCATTTTCTCCAGATCCACTTTTCAAGATTTTGGTTGAAATTGTCTTTAGGTCCTGACAGAAATTAATAACTCATGTTCTCTGAATAATGTACAAAGAAAATCCTTCATCTGTATCAGTTGTAAGCCTGTAAAAACTTTGACCAATGTCTGCCACGAGGTACCAATCTGATGAACCAATCACACGCCTCCATGTCTCCCTGCTCGTTCTCTACCCCATGCATGAACGAGCCCACACTCAAAGCATGAGCTGAGGTCCACTTCTGGACCAACGATGCTTGTGCATGTAAGTGAGGGGCGTGGCTTATGAGGGAGCACAGAGGGGGATGGGTACACACGGAGCACAGAGGGAATGCTACTTTCAAAATCATGCAAGTTTTTGAAAATGACCAACCCTGCCTTTAAGTCATGTTGATGCGGCCATGCAAAGACAAGCCCTGACTTGAAGGTCAGTCAAGTCTTCTCTGCAGACGTCATCTCCCAGTGTTCCCAGTTGGCATGAATTATTAAAAATGACTGATGTGTGTGGCCCAGTGTGTCTGCCCCCCATCTCTCTAAACATGAGATCTGCGATGTCAGATGTTACCATCCACCCGGTTCAATATCATATCTCTGTCCTCAAGACCTCTTGGCGGACACATTCTTTCCTACTCAGCGTGTAATGAGCTTGTGTAGCAGCAGTCTGTGATGTGAAATTGGCCGCCATACACGGGTTCGTTAGAGAAATTATCTGGAACGGTTTTAGGATAGCGAAAGGGCTCTGAGTGCTCCTCCGATGATACCAGCCTTAATGTGAACTGCATTTGCTGACTGACATTTATGCGGGGTCATAAAAAAAGCAGAGTTCCACCTTTTTTAAGTGCTTTTTATTGCTAAGAATCTATTTTTCAGAGAGTGTACAGGGCATTAAACAGCCTTTTCTTTCTTATTATTATTGTGTATCTAGAGGAACAGAGTGTGTATCGTCACTACAGCCTCAAGTAGCGTTAAGGATGCGTTTCAGAGAATGAAAAGACATTACCAGTGAGTCACCCATCCACGCACTTCAATGATGAAATAGGACATGTTTTGCCATACGCATAAACACATAAAAGCCATATAAGGGCATCCAGTTGGCAGACATAATTGATAATTCACACAGATGGTCCTCATGTAGTAGAGTTTTTTTGCGTTTATTGGGTTAAAAGCGTGCACAGAGTTCCAACAGACGTGTTCCAGTGACGTCAAGGGTAGAAATAACTTGTTCTAAAATGGTCTGACACAATTGTAGTCGAGTAAAATAAAGCAAACAGTCATTAAGGGTTTGTGGAAAACATCGATTTGAAGCGGCTGAGATGCGACAGACAGAGTGTGAAAAGCTTTCATATTTGCACTCCTAAATACTCAGTGTCTGGTGCCTCCATCATGGGAGGAAGATCCCGGCGCCACACAGGAAATGTTGCTGTTTGCGTTTTATATTTATGGCATCAGCAGCAGTTTGGAAATAAACAGACTAAAATGGGTATTTAGCATGTAGCAGCTGGTGTGCATCTTAGCTGAAGAGAGCAGAAGGAGTAATTAGAACTCAACACTCAATTCAAAGCACAGATAACCATCGTGAGCAGCTGAAAACTGAGCATCACATGAAGCGGGAGTACTGGTTGGATATTTTACGATAATTAAAGTCTTTAACAACATTTCAACACAGCTTTGTCGATGGCTAATTTCAGTTAATGTTCCTGTAAAACTCTGAGTAAGATGCTTTTACCATTTTTCACTTGTGTCAAAAGTCACTGTTGCATTAAAGGTATAGTATGAAGGGTGTTAGGTCCACATTAAAGGGGGGGAGGGGTCTTAGATGTTGGGATTAAAGTTGTAAATTTAGCAGCAGCTGCCTGTACATAAATGAGTAACGTGGAGCATCCTGTGAAGGTACTTTGGTTAAGTTTTCACTCACAAATAAGGAGATACTTCCTGGTGTAGTCTGTAACCGTTTGACAAGGTTTCAAAATATCCCATTAGTTGTGTTGGGGCTTTAAAGATCCAGATATGAAACTACACGTTCTCTTGGCACATCAGCATCACATTGTCCCGAGTATCAGGAACCTAAAAAGAGGCTGCAAAAAGCGTTCTAATTGGGGATTACAACTTTTCCATGGACACGAAATAAAGTGATCCGATTATTACTTGCGTCTACATGCGTCAAGCATCTCATCAGAATTAAAACACTTTGACATGTTTAAAGTTATCTGTCCATCCTGTTAACTACATTATAAATGTGCTTTAACCTGTGAGAAATTGATCTCCGTCCTTTGGTATGTCAGGTACGAGTTTCTGTCAATGTGTGTCAATAAAGTTTTTCTCCAGAGTTAGATCCAGTTTAATTAGAACAACAGAGAGTCTGTTAGTTCCTCCATTATTATTTTCTAGTTTTCGATAAGCCAGTGTCGCCGTGCATATTGACTCCGCCCGTGTTGCAAACGTTCACAGATGTAGCTCCTCTGCACGCCTCCTCGCTGTGCCTCCACATAAGCACAGTTGAAGAGCGAGGCAGACATGCGCCGTGAGATCAGATTTACTCCTCCCCTCTCGTTCTCGATGACATTTCTTTACAAATGGGCCGGATTGGATTGAGGTGTCTACATGAATCATGTTTATTGGGATCAGACTTTTATTCTTAATAATTGTGTCCATATCTATTGCTTCTATACAACAGCTTATAGTGAAGCATATAAGTTGTTAGTCTAAGCTGATGGACAGAAAACATCAGGGTGCTTTCCTTTAGGGACTCTGTGGGTTAATGCTGAAAGGTAGTCATTTAAAAAACCAGATGCAGGATGTATTTAACACCGTTTTCGATTCAATGCATGATTTGCAAACGTCAAAACTCTGTGTAATTATATCACATCTTTTTCAAAAACTGGACACAAAGTCTCCAACTGGTTTGGTTTCAATCAGAATTTTAAAAAAAAAAGGGTATCATGTATCTGCAGCTAGTTAGCACTAAGACCTATTTTAAGTCGTGAAACATTGAAGAGGTAGACAAGGAGAGGGTTTCAGAGCCAAGATAAGCCACTTGTAGATATCCTCGGCATTAGTCACCGTTTCATTGTTCAAAGAATTCCCCCGCATCAATATATGTTTAGAAGTATATATTTAAATACTTAGTAGGTCATCCTATAGAGCCTGTGGTGTCATTTTATGCTAAGCAAACATACTATTAACATTATATGCTAAACTAACAGGAACTGTGATGCTCTGCAGAACCCTCCTAGATACAGCGGAGACGGGCCGGGGCGGCGGAAAGCGAACGAGCGGAAACCCAAATTTCAATTTCTCCAACGGCTCTGAGCTACCCGCCGCGCTGCCGCTTTGATCATAGTGGAATAATGCGCTTTGATGCTTAGAATAAAAGATCTACCTTTTGATGTGTGTGGGATTTTTTTCTCGTTCTGCCCTCGATACTCTGGGTTTCCACGAAAACAGCCGGAGTCATCGCTTGTCTTGCTCGACCCAAATTTGGTGTCATGATGTTAAAAAAAACGAAGATCCCAACGCCCTCGCTCTCCCAGGTGTTTGTGATCTCTCTCTCTCTCGCTCTCTCTCTCTCTCTCTCTCTCTCTCTCTCGCTCTCTCTCGCTCTCTCTCTCTCTCTCTCTCTCTCTCTCTCTCGCTCTCTCTCGCTCTCTCTCTCTCTCTCTCTCTCCTCTCTCTCTCTCTCTCTCTCTCTCTCTCTCTCTCTCTCTCTCTCTCTCTCTCGCTCTCTCTCTCTCTCTCTCTCTGCTCTCTCTCTCTCTCTCTCTCTCTGATTTGTCGGGATGGATTCCAGTAATATGAAAGTTGTCTCCTTGTGGATTCAACTCGGAGGCTGATGAGAAAAGTTCTGACCGGGGTCAAACTGCAGTTAGGAGCGTCTCCTTCTGCAGATATCAGCACACTGGGTTAGTGGGCCTCGTGTGACCGTTTCCTCTCTAATAATCCACACTCAGCGCTGTGGTTGTGAGATGATTAGATGTTGGAGGGGAGTGGGGTGAATCGGGCTTTACAAGCATGTCACAGATATTGCGCTAAATTACAACACTGATAACTCCAGCCCACCTGACATGCACTCAGCAGGACGCCGCATTATGAGAGTTACTTTTCAGTTATGGCAGCACGTACATCTTCCGACGGGCAGTGATTGATGTCCTCGGCTGCCTAATTGAAAGAAGTGCATGCTTTAAAGCATTCATTACGTGCTGTTTTGCACGGAGTTAGGAGAAAAGTCAGGCAGCTGATTGCATGGATGGAATAGAAATTGAAGTGCATGTTAGATGGAGATGTTGCCGGGAAACTGAAGAATCAGCATCATTAGAGCCATTTTGACAAGAGCCAGGTGATGTGAACACACACACTCCAACTCGCTCAATGTAATTAATAAATGATGACTTCCCCGGCTGTGGATTAATAACTGAAGGAAAGCGCTGAGCGCCAGCGTTGCGCTACAATCAATTAGGCTGATAGAAAGCCCCCCATTTTCTATCAAGTGACCCCATCTTGAATAACAACCAGAGGCTGAAAAGTGTGTGTTTGTGTGTGTGTGTGTGTGTGTGTGGGGGGGGGGGGTCTGGTTGTCTAGACATGCAGCTGTGAGTCATGCAGGAGTGCGGACAAACCTTCGCTTCTAAATTAGAAGCACCTTGTCAGGCTTAATCTGTTTTCATCCTGAGACCCCCGCTGCTGTACCCTCTGTACTTTTACACTAACTGACTTCACATCGTCTAAAACCTTTATAACGGGAAAAAGAGAAAAGTCTGCAAGCTGGAATGCACATGCCCTGATGTGATTCACCCCATTCATTGTGCATTGCAAGCTGTTGTGGGACACATAGCCATGCAGACCAGTCTGTAGCGGCGCTACTTATTACCATCTTTCTCCCTCATGAGGTCATAATCCCTCATTTAAAGAAAACATGTAGAGCGATGGTTTGATTGAAAGACTCCTCGATTAAAGTTAGTGGCTGACCAGCAGAGGTAGGAAGCGCAACGAAATTTACCTCAACTAACATGCTGTAGCTAGTAGCAGAGCAAACTCCTCAAAGCGAGGAACAGATGATACTAAAAGAGCTGCACAGAAATTGCACGTTGTAGACTTTGCTGGACGTAACATACAGGCCGGTGAAATTTATTTTATGGATTTTTACCGTACACATACAATAAAAAGAAGAGCTCCACCAATATGTTATGTCTGAAATAGTTAACACGTTTTAATGGAGGGAGAAAGTGCTGATTACTATGTGCCCGATACAGATTTTTCTTACATAGAATATGTCCAACTGCTCCGCACCGTGTGCTGCTGAGAGTGTTGTCAACTATTGAGCACCACATGCTCTGCTAGAAAAGCTTCAGATGACATCTTTTAAAAATGAACCCCGCCCCCAAAAAACCACAGTTTTCTGCATGATGTGTTTGAAACAAAAGTTCTTATATCGACTATGGATTTACATAGATAGATTTCTAGATTTAGAGATATACAGTAAATAGTATCAATTAAACGGTAGTTGAGCAATAGGGCACCCAGTGTCTGACAACCTCACCCACGCCATGGAGGATGCCAACAGTTCTAGACGAGCTACACCTCTTTGATTGCTTTGTGTTTGCTCAGATAGAGCTTCCCCGAAACTTCAAATCACTGCTTACATAAATACACATGGGTGCTACTCATACTCATAAAGCGCACCACCTCCGTCTTCTCAAAAAATATATCAACTACTATCGTTGCTATAGCTCCGAAAACTCTCGGATTCTGCATCTTTTCTAAACGGATGTAATTTGACCTGACTCTGTCCTCTCTTTTCTGTTTTTTTTTATCTCTTCCAGAATGCGGATGACCTCTTGGTAGCATCAGCTGAATGTCCTAGTGATGACGAAGATTTGGAGGAGTGTGAGCCTGGAAATGGTGAGTCAACTCAGGGGGTTCTGTCTTCTTAGCACTTGTTAAAAAAACAAAAAACAATGTGCAGCTTCAAGACAAAAACTGAAGTAATCCTTTCTCCACTTTGACGACACTTTGTGACTGCACCTCCCTCTGTACGCAGCTCTGATTGGTCAGATGTGCACCCTTCCTTATTGGTCTTTTTTTTTTCAAAGCAGCAGGCAGCTGCACCGTTGTCCATCAGTTGCTCAGCCGAGTGGTAGTATGTGGCGTTCACCCAGCTGTTGCACCAATCTCCTGCCTCGATTTTTAACAAGGCAGGACAGTCTCCACGTGGAGACGCGGCTTGTTCCGTGCGGCACACAGCTGCAGCGCGGCAGGCCCGGTGGCCGAGACGCTGTGAGTGTGAGCAGTGGGTCAGCTAATGTTCTGACACTGTGACAGGTGGGGGGGGGGAGTTAAAGGCAACGTGTCTTTTACTCCCTGTCGCTGCGGTTTCTTACTCTATTAAGCTGACCTTCTTTAAGAGGATGCCAAGAACCATGTTACAGTGAAGAAGATGAACGTTTGGTCCACACTGCGAGATATGCAGATATGCAGTGTTGATGTTTCATGCTGAAAGATTTCTGTTGTTAAACAGCGTAACCAGTTTTAATGTGTTGGAAGAAAGAAACCAATCGGCTCAATAATTAAACACGTCCAGTCTACAGGCAGCTATTTCAATAACTACTGAAGATTAAAATAGTAAACAAAACTTTCTGGATCCCTGACTGAAGCACCCTAAATATAACAAAGCAAACATTTTCCAATAAATGTATTAATGCTGACTTCATTTATATATAAGTTATGTTGAGGCCAAAAACACTTGTGTAAAAATGTCAACTTCAACTTGGGCATTTATTTTAGAGATAGGACAGTAGATGGAATCAGAAATCAGGGAGAGAGAGAGAGAGAGAGAGCAGGGAATGACATGAGCCACAGGTCAGATTCGAACCCGGGCCGCCCACCTGGAGGCCAACAGCCTCTGTACATGGGCACAAACCTACTAGGCTACTGGTGACCCGACTATTTGTATTTTTTTATTTTGTTTTTTAACACAACCTCCACTTCCAAGGGATATTGAATCGAATGCCAGAACATCTGGCTTCATTAAAGGCACATTATGTAAACTCCGCCACCAGAGGGCTCTTAATCAAAACAATAACAAAAGATGACGTATAGGCTGACGGGGAATCATGGGAGTGAGTCTCTCTGCTACTCCCCGAAAATGAACTCTTGTATATTTGTCACACCAGTGTGTAAGACACAGCCAAATTTTACAGTACTCATCTCCCACAATACTTTGCATGCTACAAGCTAACGGTTAAGTGCCCTTTGATATGATGGGTAGGTTTGGTTAGTCTCACGTTTGGTGATTGGGTTTCAGAGCTCAGGAAAAGTTATAAAATAATTATAGACAGAGCGAAGATTACAGAAAGATTTTATTTAAAGACAGCCAAAAAAGTGGAGATAACTGACAATTAACAGATGGAAAGAATACAACAGAATATGTTTTTATATCACTTGATCTTTAATCAAATCAGCTCCACCTGGTCTTCAGTATGCTTCAGTATAATAAGTTCTGTTGTTTGAATCTTTCTTACAGCTGGAGTTAGTCATCCACGGTAGCAGCTTCTGTGAACACAGGATAACAAGCAGAAGGTTTAGTTGATATCAGACTCTTCCAGAAAGTAGTAAATGTACATAACAACACTGAAAAACACTTATCCTACTTTAGATTCTTCATGAATTATACATGAAAGACTGTGCTAAAACAAAGTGGGGATATCTGTGATGTCTTTGTTTGGGAAAGGTTTTTTTTATGGATCAGGGATTAGAGGTTTAAATAGAGTATATGCTGGGCTGTAAATTACAGGAGATTACAGCAATCGTTGTGTTTGTGTGTTGATCTGAACCTGTGTGGAGAAACTCGAGTGTAGCATTCTCCTGCCGTTTCTCACTGTAGGTGGTTGGGACCGAAATAGAGACTCAATTCCCTTCTTATCGGAAGGAGAAATGAGAGTTTTTTGGTGGATGCTATGCCCAGGCTTAATCTCCCGAGGGAAAACACAACTCTTTCTCTCTCTCTCTCTTGTATGCCCACACAAACACACACACGCACAGTGGCCGACATGCTCACCTTTTCAGACAGACACTTGTCTCTCTCTCTCTCTCTCTCTCTCTCTCTCTCTCTCTCTCTCTCTCTCTCTCTGTTGGTGTAAAGTTTTCTCTCTCCGGAGAAAACAACAAACACGCTCGTGCACGTGCTCTGTATCGCACCTTCCAGATGCCACAGGAGCTCCAGCCAGGCGAGGCCCGCAGGGTCGGATAAGCTTCGGTGAAAACTGTGGACGAGGAGAGAGGGAGAATCAACATTGTCTGAAAAACATGTCCCCACCCCCCCACCCCCCAACACTGCTTGGCAAACAAAGGCCTGTGGTCGCTGTATGATGGGTCCCATTCCCTGTGTTTTCAATTACAGGAAGCGGCTCTGTGTTATTGAACGGCCTCCAGGAAGGAGAAGTGATGTTAAGCACAGCTGAGCGAGATATGACTACAGCGAATACATCGGGATCGATACGAGTCTGTCCTTCAGCCAGTGCAGCTCCATCGGCTTTGCGGATGCATTTACCTGCAGCTGTAGTGCAACAACTGCCAATTCAAGAGAATTTTCTCACCACAGTATTACATCCAGAAGTTTTTGGTGGCTGTCTACCTCTAAATGATGACACCCCCCACCCGCTCTCACAATGATTGCAGGGCGGCCACTGTCGCACACTTGCTGACAAGCCTAGAGTGGATGCAATATAGACAAAAGTGCAGAGCGCGGGGAAACGGCCTGAGGAAGAGATGAGCGGGGGGTGGAGCTGGGAGGAGGACTGTGTTTTGAAGGACTGACCCTCATTGAGATTTGCGTCACGTTCCTCTGCGCTCAAAGCAGGAGAGGAGGAACGAGGTGAGAGAGAGAGAGAGAAAGAGAGAGAGAGAGGGGGCGATACAAAGGAGAGGAGGAAGAGGGTGCAAAATTGAGAGAGGTATTCCCGAGAATGATTCCTGCCTTTCCCACCAGGCTAATTAAACTCTGACTTGTTAGGGAGCTCTAATTACATCACCCAATTAAAGCTTTTGGTTTGGATCCTGCATTGATGTTAATGAGCCTCTTGTCAGGAGGGCAACAAGACACAGGACGTGGATTACAAAGATGAAACTTGCTGAGGATGGAGTGACAAAGTGAAAATGAACACAGAAGAAAATACACACACAAAAAAAAACAGTTTTACACTCAGACAAAGTTTTCTACAGACACTGATTGATTTCACACAATTAGAGGAGATACACAAACATTGTCTCAGAAAAGCCCAGCTCATTAAATCTCTTTCATTACATCCCTTTATTTCCACTCTCTCTACCTCGGCACGACCTCACTTTTTCCGTCTCTTGCATACCTCCGAGCTTCTTCTCAGTCCCAGGATGTCGCCGGCCGTATATATCGGTTTTACTCTTGACAAGATCACAAGCTTTGAGGAGCTCCTCAATAATTCATCAGACGATACGCTGTAGAGACGACCTGTGAGTGTTCTCCTCTAGGTCGAGGAGTGAAACTAAGAGATTGGGTGATAGATGAGGAATGACCGGGAGCGCAGTTATGTGACTCACAACTTGCGTGAGATCAAACCCGCACCTGTCGATCGGTTTGGTTGTCAGTTATTTGTCAGTGTTATACTTCATTGATCCCCTTCAGTTAAGACGTCCATCCACAAGCTCAATCCAAAGTTTCATGTGACTGTCTCTTTAGTTTGGATGTGTCTGTCGCTTTGAAAAGATATCAAAGAAGTGTGTGCACAACGTTGCTGAAGTCCTGAAAGATTAAGATTAGATCAATCAGCGGTATTCTGATACGACCGTTGTCTTTCCTGATAAGCTCTACAAACAGATGTCTGAATAAGAGTGTGTATACTTCAGTCAAGGGACCAGATATCTAGGCGAGTGGTTCTGATACCAATGCTAGTATTAATATCAGCCAGTACTAGTTCAGCCTAATTATGGGCCGTTTCCAAAGGATCCTTGTGTGCCATGTTCTGTCCGCACACTCCACAGCTGAGTGCGCCCTCTCTAGTCAATGCTCCTGTTTCCATGTAGAAATAAGACCAAACGTAATGTGTGTCTTTTGGGAGCAATGTTTCATATTTATACGAGTGGATAAGACTTACAAGTGTAACTTGTAAGTCTTGAAGGTTCTTACGCACCTCTTAAAGGGGCATGATGAAGTGTTTGATCACTGTGAGATAGCTTTAAGTGGCGGCCTGGCGGGGGGTCCATCAATCGGTTGTTAGGGGCGCAGCAGTTACTCATGCTCAATCACCGCTTGTGAGTGGCAGTAAAGGGCGAGGACCACAGACTAGCCAGTCATGTGCACGTAGGACGGGTCATTGGAACGAGGCTTATGCACGTCTTATAAGTACGTGAAGCCGGGTTCCTCTAATACTTCATACATTTACATAACCAATGAAACGTTAGCAATTAGTTCTGTCATGTCTTTGGTTGTCTTTGCCTTCATATACAGAGGATTTTTAAAAACAGCGAGGATGCGTTTTTGGCCACATGTTATCTTTTGCTTAGCTCCGGGCAAACCTCTCGGTTATGCCATCTAATGTTCATTAGCATCTTGGACGAGAACTGTAAATGTCCCCATACATCTGATTTATTATTCTCTATTTATTACTTTTCTTTGTGTGGTTTGTTGTGTCTGCTTCTTCTTTTTCTATTGTTGTCAAATAGCCGTTAGCAAACAGTTACGAGCACTGCCACCTCCTGGATTTGGGGTGGGGGTACTGCCATGTGTGGTTACATTTTTCTCCTCTCGGACGTAAATCTTCGTATGCACTAAACCATCAAAATCCTGTATGTTATATAGTGCCCACATTTCTATTTTTGCTTGTGATGTCATTTGAAGTCGTTTTTAAATTTGTCGCCTACAGCGCCTC